AAAAAAAAAATAGTAAATTTAAATTTACTCAAATTTAAATGAGCTCAAACTTATCCTAAATTGTTCAGGATAGGGAAAATATCATATATGCCAAAATGTAAGGGGGATTTTCCCCAAAAAACGTTCTTCCAAAAAGAGGGATTCAGATTCACTTTGTTTTCAGGTCTTTACAAAGTCATCATCTATTTAATTTTTAAATAAGTACTGTCTGGGAAAGACACGTTAGCTTAAAATATCTTCAGTCAAGGCTACTCTGCAATGCTTACAGAGGTCACCTGATAAAAATCAGCAGGAAAAAAAAAGCAAAGAATTTATCACAGACTGAGTTATTCGTTTATGTAAATAAGACCTCACAATTCTAAGTGTTGGATGTCACTGTAAACAAAACTTTTAAAGAGCACTTTAAAAATGACAGAAAGGTCATTTTAAAAAAAAATCTGAAAAAGTGTCATAGGCAAGAGGAGCCTAAGGGGGCATGACTAAATGCAATGTTGTATCCTGGAACTGGAAAAAAATGACCTTAGATAAAAACTAATGCAATCTGATTACAAAGAATGAACTTTAGTTAATAACAATGAATTGATATCGATTTATTAACTATAACAAATGTACCATACTAGTGTAACATTAATAATACGGGAAACAGGGCATAGAGTATATGGGAACTCTATACCATCTTCACAATTTTTCTGTTAATCAAAAACTATTCTAAAAAATAAAGTTTATTTTAAAACTTGAAATTTTTTAAATAACAAAAACGGTAGATTGTGCAACTCATTAAGATGTACATATATGAAAAATAGACCAAGGATTAGGAGCCAAAGATCACAATTAATCCAATTGAAAAGAAAAATCAGTTTCTAATTATTATTTTATATAATATGTGATTTTAAACATATGCATGTATGTAAACTGATAAAGTAAAAGTTTACATAATCAAACTGGCCAAAAAGCTTTTTAAGTTTTCTCAATGATAAAATGTATCGCTTTATATTTAGTTGCCCGATGTTCAGGCATTATATGGTAATCTGTTCAAGTATAATATGGTATCAAGTTCAAGCATAATATGTGGTACATTTGTCACACAGGAACCAAGAAAGAAGCAAAGCTAACATCTGTTCTAAAACGTTAGTTTAGACAGAATCATCAAGTCTAACTCATTTAACAAATGTTGCTGAGCACCTATGTGCTAGACACTATTAGGCATTTAGGACACACAAACAAAAAAAGATTCCTGCCCTCATGGAGCTTATATCTGAGTAAGGAGACACAATTTACTGTGTTTTTAATACAATAAATAGGTGAAATATATGTATTATAAGGAAATACGTGCTATGGAAAGAGAAAAATTGGAGCAGGATAAAGGAGATCAGGAAAGTAATGGTAGGTGGGGGGGGCAGTGGGCAGGTTGGCAATGTTAAATAGGGTGGTCAGGATAGGCCCTGTGAGATGGTGACATTTGATTAAAGATTTGAAAAAGGTGAGAGAGTTAGCCATAGATATATCTTGGGGAAAGGCATTACTTTATCTGGTACAGTCATGCATCACTTAACGATGGTAACATGTTCTGAGAAATGTAGCATTAGGCAATTTTGTTGTGTGAGCATCACAGAGTGCACTTACACAAACCTATGGTACAGCCTACTACATACCTAGGCTATATGGTATAGCCTATTGCTCCAACCACCGTCATATATGTGGTCTGCCTTTGACTGAAACATCGTTATACAGCACATGACAGTACTATATTTAGGTCTGTGTCCAAATAATTCCTCTAACAGAAAACATAAAAGTACAACTTCTATTACCACAATAATATTGGTTAAAGTACTTTGCATTTGGGTTCAAATATTTCTAAAGAAGAATACATTCCTTCATACCTTTTTCATTTCATTTTCTAAATTTTCCTCTTCTTGACCTTCAGACAGCCTTCTTCTTAAATCAGCTATTTCCCTCTCTGCAGATTCTCTATACTGTGCCCACTGTGTTCGCTCCTGCTCCAGCCTAAGGTGGAACTGGTGCTCATAGTCACGAACTGTTTCTACAAAACATCACCAAATATTTCACATCTAAGCATTATGAAAAAAATGTTCTTGCACACCAAAAATTTTAAAGTTATATAAAAAGCTTATGCCTAATTTCTTGAAATTTTTTAATTCACTAAAAGAAGGAAATGAAACTAACACTTTTAGTTTTTATTACGTGTAGAAATAAGGGCTTTAAGTCATCTTTTTTAATCTTCACAATAAACCTGTGCTATATATTATTTTACAGATGCGGAAAACTTTAATTAGGACAGGTTAAACAGTATGGCCAATGTTTCATAACCAGAAAGAAGCAGAGCTAGAATTCAAACTTAAGTCCAACTCCAAAATGTATGTTCTCACACACTGCACTATGGCTTCCATAAAAAATACAAGTCACCCCAATCCAACTACCTGAAAGTATGAGAAAAGGGATGTATTTCTAGGATATTTTACTATATGACCCAGGATTCTAAGTTAAAACAAATTCTGTAAAGTCTTTACAAAATGGCTTTATCTTTAATACAATCTTAAAACATTATGTGACAAAAACTGCTAGTTGCCCATTAATTTCCACTCCTCCTCCTTCCTTACTAACAATACCCCAATTTTATTCAGGAAGTCAATGTGCCCAATTTAAAAAACTACATTGTCCAGTTTCCCTTGTAGTTATGGGTAACCACACACTTTATCAACAAAGTGGGGGAGGGGGGCGTGTATATGCTGGAGAATTCTAGAAAATTTTTGCTTTTCTAATGCAGACTGAAGGAGGAGTAGCCATTTTTTCATCTATGAGGCAAAAACGAAGTTCAAAACCACATGCTAAGGATGAAGGAACAGAAGGACTGAAGGAGCCTGGGTCACTGGTAAGATCATGCAATCATTGTAACCAGCACTAGATTACCTACTTCTGGGTCTTTTCCTATGAGGAAAACTAACTATTTGAGTAAGCCACTACAGTCAGAAGCCTAGATTTACCTCTAGGTGGTAGCTACAGTCTCAGAAGTACGGCTAGCCTTACCTATTTCTTACAAAGAGCTCTAAGGCAAAAAATAACACACAAATGTGAAATAAGGGAAGGGGAATCACCACTATTTAATATTTAGAATATTAGCTAACCTAATTTCAGGAATTCAACAATTCAAAGAGCAATTCACTTTATTTCATCATCATCTTCTCAGAAATTAATGAAATAATTAAGCACCAGCACCAAAGGAGACAGAGACTCAACTACTACTCTTCTTCCTTTACACCAAGGATCACAAGCTGACAGCCCATAAAGCCTATTGTAGTTTATAGGCCATTCTACCCCATAGACTGCAGTGAAGATTTCACATACAAATACAAATTTTTCTTAAAAACCTAAACAATATGGCAACACTAGACTGGACGGACAATAATTAGCTAGAGCTAATAAGTATAAATAGTTACTTTACCATTTGCATGGAAGCCCTCTGCGGTCCAGCACGCTCCCTGTGCCCATACAGCTTTACTCATACATGTTAAGCCTCTTGATTTCTGTTCAAAAATCCACTTTTAGGCCCTGCTTTAACCCTTCCAAAGAACTATAATCCTCATTTAATGCATTATCTCAATAACACCCTAATCATAACTCTCTACTATTAAATCTGTTAAAGATACAGATGATATACCCAATTACATCACCACTGACTTCTCTTTTATCTGACAGTGCACCTTGAAGATGGCAGTACATAAAGCCATAAATGAAATTCAGGATATCTTTTAAGACCCTCTGAAAATGTTCTCAACCATTGGAATCAAATATCTTAGAAGATCATAAACTGATCTTTGTCTTTACCCTTCATAACAGCCTGAAGTGAAGCAACTTCTTCTCTCCACTGTCTTTTTACTTCATCTATAGCTTCTTGCTTGGTATTCTCAGAGACTGTGGCAATAGCCTTAATATTCTCCATCTCTGCTTGAGCTTCCCACAGCTGTGTCCGAAGGTGTCCCAAATCATCTTGCGCTGCTTGTAAAACTGCATTTTGCCTCTTAAGATCCTCTGGAAAAAAAGTAAAAGACTTTCCATTAATGAAGCGTTCACTGTTATCAGGCTGACATTCTAATGAAGAAATTAAACATTAAATTTTAAAAGGTTAACATACAAAATGACACTTTAATAGAGGTGAGATTTAAGGTACACTGGGTGGGTATCATAAAGCAATTATTAACAATCAATCTAATAATATAGTGGTTAAAGTCATAGTTTTAAAGCTAAATTTAGACTGTTCCCCCTGCTGGCTAAATTAACTTGGTCAAGTTATTTAACCTTTCCGGCCTAAGTTTCCACATCTGCAAAATGAATATTAAAAATAGCCACCTCAGAGGGTTGTTGTAATGATAAAATAATTTATTGGAAATGCTTATTAGAACAATACTTTCCACAAAGTAAACATTCAAGAAATGTTTAGTACAAAAGAAAAGAAAGCCAGAGCACATGGTGGTTACTAGATCCAGATTTTTAAAACTCAAAATTAATTTCTCAGCTCCCCCTTAACATCTCTTAGATACTAAGCTGATATGACGCACCTACTACATGATTTAAGTGTAAACAGGACACGTTTGGTCAAACCGACTTCCAAAAAAGAGGAATGTATCAATAGTACATAGGGATGTGCCTGTTTTCCCAGACACTTACCAACAGTCACTATTTTTCACGGATAGAAAATGGTCATCATTTTAATCTACATTTTCCAATCAGTAAGGAGTATGAATATCTTTTCAAACATTTATTAGTGACCAGTACTTCCTCTTTGGTGATATCCTTTACTGATGTTTCTAATAAATTGTTTTCCTTTTTGGAGGAGCATTTTATATAAGGGTACTTCAAAAAGTTTGTGGAAAAATAGA